CAACTGTACATCTAATGGCGGAGGCTGTACAGTTTTGGATTTGGGCACATTGGCTAGCAGTCAGTTCCCCCACTGGATAGTATCCTCTTGAATTGTAGATACAATTAGGGGACCTTTGAGATAGCTGTGTATTTTTTTACTTTGGGCTTCATGCTTGTGGAGTTGGAAGTAACACCATGAATGCTCTGGTTGAGGAGGCTCAATGGAGTCATTACATAATGGAGGGGACCTAAAGAGAGGCAGAGCCAACAATCACCTGTCAATGGTAGGTTCATAAAGTTAAGGAGGTGGTGAGTTGCATCTAACAGGTTGTACAGTTGGAGTTCCAAGTTAAAGTTCCCTGCCCCAGAAGGAAGCCTTAATGGGGGTCGTGGTGGTGGCAGAATAATGTCTTTTACAGTCTTGTAGCCACCTAGGTAATCACCTCTGGATGGCCTCTCTATATCTGTGGCTTTTTTCTTAGTAAGCTGATATTGGGATGGGGTGGATGGGTAAGATGTCCAGACATAACAAGGCTTATTTCCTCCCCCATCATTTCATCATTCCATGCCTTTAAGGGGCCCCAGTCTTTCTGCCCTCAAGCTGTCTGTCCTATAGTGCCTTTTTTCTTTCAGAACTGATAAGTTCTGTCAGACCTATCAATTTTCCCTAATATTAAATTGTCACTCTTCTGGTGCATTCAGAAATTGATGTGCTGCATGTGGGTGACAGGTATTCGTAATAGGTAAAGGTATATTGTAACTTTCTCTGGAAGGAGAGAGGTTTTACACAAGCTGAGCAGTCATCCCGGCCTCTAGATAGGATGACTTTAGAATGTAATAGAGTCGGGAAGCAAAAACACCTCAGGGACCTCATGCCTGAGACTGGGTTATGGGCTACAGATAGCACCAAACAGCAGTAAGGCTTCCTACTATGTGGAGGTAACAGAAGGCCGCATTAATTTCTGGCCTACATTCCAATCCTGGAGAGCAGTGATGGCCAATCCTAGTGTGAACAGTATTGCAACAATGCTAATCAGCAGGATAGGGTAGGGGTGGCAGAAAAGGGGATACATTTATGTCCTGTTGGGCAAATCCCCAAGCTTCCACCATGTGTTGACCAACCAGCGTCCAGGAGGTGGCTGGAGCAGGGCTGGAGCTCTCTCAGGTGATGACGTGCTGTTGTGATGTTCTCTGGAACCTTAATTTGAGGGGATTAGTTGAATCATGGACAGCCTGCCAGTTGTTGAGCTCTGTGGGGGCAGCTTCCTTCTTTTTCCAGGAGTGATGAATCCAGGGAGTGATTCCTGCAACTTTAACAGCTATAGGAGTTGCTAACATCACTGGATGGGGACCCATTCAACTGGGTTGGAGTGGTTCATTTTGCCAATCTTTTACCCATACCATATCCCAGGTTGGTGGGGATGGGCCCAATTACCCATGGGGATTGGGGTCCTTTCTAAGACTTCCTAGGAAATGTGGCATAGGGTTTTTCCTAGGTCCTGGAGATGTCGGGATATGTCTAGATTTCCAATTTGCCTGAGGTCCCCTCTTAGTCTGTTTATTATGGGAGGGGGTCTGCTATATAGAATCTCAAAGGGTGAGTAGCCATAGGGTTTAGAGGTATGGTGTGCTCGGAGCAGGACTAAAGGTAGCATGTCTATCCAGGAAGATTGTGTTCCTTGGCAGAGTTTAGCCAAGGTAATTTTAAAATTCTATTCATGCGCTCTGCTTTCCCTGAACTCTGAGGCCTGTACACTGTATGGAGCTTCCATTTTATTTTTAAAATTTTATCCAGGACCTGGACTATTTCTGCCAGGAAGGCTGGTGTGTTATCTGATCTGATAGAAAGGGAAGCCAATATCTGGGGATAATTTCTCTTAAAAAGGCCTTTATTACCTCTCGTGCTTTCTCTTTGTTGGGTGGGGTGTAAGCCTCAACCCACCCTGAGTAAGTGGTGACAAGAACCAAGAAGTACTGGTATCTTTGACATGGACTGACCTCTGTGAAGTCCACTTCCAGGTCTTCAAAAAGCATGGTGCCTGTTTTTTGTACCCCAGGGCTTGGCTGTGGCATCATAAAGTGGTTTGGTCAGGCTTGAATATCCAAGTATTCAGATGCAACAGAATCTTGCTGCTTCCAAGAATTCTCGGACCTCCCTTTTGGTCTTTGGCTGAGGGATGGAGCAGATAACCTATTTTCTTTCTGTACCCAGGGTGCGTCGTCCCTCTGAGATGATGGATCTGAGGTATTGGACCTCTTGCTGGCAAACTTGAGCCTTTTTCCAGGAGACTTGAGAGCCTGCCTTGGAGAGTCAGGCTAGCAATGCCTTTGTCTCCCAGCATTTCTCCTGGTAATGGCTTGCCAGGAACAGATCATCCATGTGTTGGGAGCAAAGTAAAGCCTGGATTTTTCTTCTGGGAAAGTTGACAAATCTGCTGCTAGGGCTTCCCTGAACAAGGAGGGTGAGTTTTTGAATCCTTGTGGCAATTTGGTCCAGGTCATTTATGTTTTTCTTCCAGTATGGGGGTCTTCCCATTCAAAGGCAAACAGAGGATGGCTAACTGGGGCCAGACAGAGCAGAAAAAAGCATCCTTTATGTCCAGACAGGTGAACCAGCTTGCTTGTGGTAGTAGAAGGCTCAGGGGAATGTAAGGATTAAAGAATAATGGGTGCAGTGTGATAACTGCATTGTTGACTGCTTGCAGGTACTGGACAGGCTGGTAATCATCTCCCCCTGCCTTTTTAACAGGCAACAGTGGGGTGTTCCATAGTGATTGACAGTTAGTTGATTAATATCCTTATGTCTTTTAACCACCGAAGGTGGTATGAATTCCTAAGCATACTTCCCATGGTACTGGATATTGCCTCTGTCTGGCAGGGAGAGCCCCAGGTCTGAGATCTACCATTATGGGCACATGGTTGCGAGCCAGACTGGGAAGCCCTTTTTCAGCCCAGACATCAGGAAACTACTCCAACAGACAGATGGGCTTCACCAGGTCTCATTTTTCTTGGCAGTAGAGTCACCATTCATCTTTCGTAGCCATGGTCACTGCCATGATGAGGGCATTTGGTCCTCTCACTGTAAGGCTTATAGGCCCTCCCTGGTTGAAGGTGATTTGGGCTCTGAGCTTTGTTAGTAAGTCCCTTCCCAGAAGAGGAATTAGACATTCTGGTAAATACAGGAAATCATGAGTCACCTTGTGCTCTCCTAGTTGGCATGTCCGGGGTCAGCAGAACTGCCGGGCAGTTTGGGTGCCATTGGCTCTGTCTATTGTGGCCCCGTGCTGAGTGAGTGGGGCCACAGGCTTAGTGACCACAGAGTGCTCAGCACCTGAGTCCACCATGAAGGTCACTGGTTGGCCCTCTACTTTCATTTCAACCATGGGCTCTTGGGGGCCTAGTAGTAAGGAGCCCCGTCTTCCTAGTCTGACTCAATTCCTGCTAGGCCAATGAGGTCCTGGGTGTCTGGTTTGAGTTGCCATCGCTCTTCTCTCCTGGAGTAATTTTGTTGGGCTCTGATGCTATTCCCTTGCAGTGGGGCATTCAATCTTGCAGTGGCCAATCTCCTTGCAATGGGCACATTGGTCTCATCAGAGTGGGGTTTTCCCATTGGGTCTCCCCTTCTGTGGCAGAGCTGACTGCTGGGTTGGTTCTGGCTTTCCCAGTGCTGCAGCAAATAAAGACACCTTATTGGCTTTCATTCTTTTATCAGCTTCCCATTTTTCCTCATGTTCCCAGTTTAGAAAGACTTTATTTGCCACTTCTAACAGCTGGGTGGCACTCATTCCAGTGAAGCCTTCAAGTTTCTGAAGTTTCCAGCAAATGTCAGCATATATCTGGGCCACGAATGCTGTATTGACCATTTGCTGGTTTTCTGGCACTTCCAGATTAAAAACAATGTACCCAGAAGGCCTCACAGAGTCTCTCATAAAATTCAGTTGGTGTTTCTTCTGGCTTCTGGATAACTGCTGCAATTTTGGACATGTTGGTAGGTCTCTTAGCTCCAGCCCTGAGTCTGTGTAGGAGGGAGGTGTATATTGAGTGAGGACTCCTCATCCTTCAGGTGTATTGAAGTCTCAGGTAAGCTACACATCAGGGTCTGCCTCTCTTGCCCAAGCTTCTGCATCTAGGGTTCCTGCTGGGGCCTGCCCTTGTAGCCAGTGGCAAGCTTTTGTCAGAATTTGCTGTTGCTCTTCTGTGTTGAAAAATGTCAGGAGGATCTGTTAGCATTCATCCCAAGTGGATTGATGGGTCTGGAATATGGATTCCAATATGACCATGGCCTGAGGTTTTTCTGAATATGGCAGTGTATGATTCCTCCAATTTAAGAGGTCAGTTGTACTAAAAGGCTGGTAATGGAGAATAGAGCATTCGGGCTGGACCATGCCATCAACACCAATCTGACAGAGCCTTTGAGTCTCATGGGGTGGCATTTCCAGGGCCCTGGCCTGAGGGGCCGGCACCTGGGATGAGTGAAGGCGGTGGCACAGGGGCTGTGGACTCAGACTCCAAGCCTTGGATGGGTGTGGGACATCACTGGGAATGGGAGGCTGCTGATAGGGCTGAGGAGGACTCACTGAAGGTGGCTGGGAGAGGTGGTATTGGCTGCTCTGATGGTGGGGGTGTGCTGGGAATGTACAGCAGAGGGGCAGTTCATCTTCTGGATCCCCTTGCAGAACAGCCTTGGTCAGCTTCTGGTCTTCAGGCTTCATTGCCTTGGCCACAAAAACTCTGCTGTGTCCCTTTTTGTTGTTATAGAATCAGACCCAAGGGGACATGGTCTGAGCCACCTGAAGCCAGGAGTTGATACAGGGGAACTGATCAGGGTACCTGGGGCTTCCTATTATGATCTGGTAAATAGCCCTGACAGTGGGCAAATCTAGGGTACCTGCAGGGGGTAGTTAACAACAAAAATGGGCCATTCTGGGAGATATTTTGATCCTATAATCTCCTGAGAATCCCTTCTTAAAATGTTTAAGCATTCACTCTAGGACTGTGGGTTTTGAGGATCTTCCACCCATGGCAGTTAAAGGTATCCTCTATACCCGCCCTGTGTATTCCCTTCCCTGTGTTGGTGGTGCAAAGACAAACAAGGGTAGAGGTGTCACTTCAAGAGAAGAGGCCAATCAGATGTCTGGCTGGCTGCATCCCAAAGGAAGCTTGGTGCCTCTTTGCATGGATGGTAGGGTCAGCCTTGTGACTCTAGATTGGGTTTCCCCAAGGCCACCCTAAGCCTCATGAGGATCACCATGGAACTGAAGGACAGACCCCCTCAAACTCTGCAGTTTTTCAGCCAGGGAGCCACAAACTCAAGCCTGAAGCAAGGACAAATCAGTCTGCTCATTCACTCACACATGCACACTGATGTTATTAGAGTTGTCCTTCCCCTCTTTTGGGGAAGTCCCTGATCTGTGGAACTCTGCTCATCAGAGGTTCGTAGGAGTGGATCAAGCTCCCCTTCTACCCAGTGGGATGGGACCTGACTGAGGGCTGGCTTTCCTGGGGGTGTGGGCTTACCGAGTCCAGATGAAACTGCCAGGCGGGTTTGTCCATTTCTCCTTGGAGTCCAAGTCAGGACAAGACTACTCAGACGGTTAGAACTCTGGAGTGAAGGAGGACCTAGAATACCATCAGGTGGCACTCCGCCTCATTCAGTCCCAAGTCCCTCCTTACTCTGGTGCAGTCCAGCCACTGGCTGGTGGCTCAAGGGGCTAAAGTGGTTGCTATCTCCCTGGGGCCTCCAGAAATGTTGCAGAAATATCATCAGATGAGAAACCAAATGACACTCAGAGATGTGGAGAACTCAGGTTTTATTTTACACTGGTGGATCCAGATGAGTTCACACTCGAAATTCTGGGCCCTGAACAAAGAATTCACAGGATACTTAAAGGGCAGTGCAGGGCATCAGGTTACAAGGAATGTGAGAAGGTTAATAGGTGAACCAGTGCTGGGTTAGAGACCTGGGGTTGTTTAGATAAAAGCATCATGGGAGATCTGCTTTGGAAAGTTTATTTACAGAAGGAGACAAAGGAAGGCAGTAATGGGCAATTATCTCTACATGGTGCCCCTTTGTCATGACCTAACTAGCAATATCTCACGTCCTGTAGCCTTGCCTAGACAGTCTTCTTGTTCAGTCCGAGATCACATAGTCAGTGAGATATGAGGCCAGGATATAACCCTAGTGTTCTGGACCTAAGGTTCCCACTGTTACTCCTCTTGATAGTTCATGATTCATTTTGAAGTTTACACTTCAAAGTTATTCATTATCATTCATTCATTGATTATAACAAATACACCATTGTATTTGAGTGATGTTGATAATGGGGGAGGTTATGTGTGTATTGGGGCTGGAGTGATATATAATTCTATGCTTTCCTTTCCATTTCACTGGTAATCTAAAACTGTCCTAAAAATAAAATATTTTTTTTAAATAAAAGGGGAAGATATTCTATGAGATGACATACTGTTTGATGCTTACCTTGTATACATTAATTTATCAGTTTTCAACTATTAATATAGATGGATGCTTTAAAATATATTTAAGAATATCAACACAATTGTGAAAGATTTTGAGTTTTTTAATTTACAAATTTTATATTCATTTAAATATAATGTATTTTTATACGTAAAATAGTGTTAATAAAATACATTGCATCTATTTGAAAATGAGTATATATATATATATATATATATGTATATATGTTAAAGCCTAATAGTTTGCATTTATCTAGATTGGAGTTTTCATGCTTTATATGTGCATTTCAAAGTGGAAAAATATATATATTGACATAGGAAAATATTGTACATAGTAAGAATATTTTTCTTTTCTTTTTTTAACTTGCCCTTAGACCTGCTGCTTTCAAATAGCTGTATCCCCTTTTTGGGTTCATCAGAAGGACTGGATTTCCAAACTCTTCTGTTAGATGAAGAGAGAGGCAGATTGCTCCTAGGAGCCAAGGACCATGTCTTCCTCCTCAGTCTGGTTGACTTAAACAAAAATTTCAAAAAGGTCAGTTTAGTTATATATGTCATTGATTGGATTCATTTCACTTCATCTGTGCTTTTCTCTTGCTTTGTTTTAAGTGACTCATGTCAAATGCAATAGGTTTTTTACATGTCAAAAATACTACATTAAAAAACATATTGCCTCTGATGTTTGTTTCAGTTTTAATGGATTTAATTGCATGTGGATGGTTTTATTGAGTCAAAAAGTATAATAATAAAATGTTTAAAATATGAATGAAAAGTATCAATTATTAGTAAATATGTATTTCTAGAGTAGAAATGCAAATACTTGTATTGAAGAAATGGCAACTGAACTATTCATCAAGAATAAACATATCTTCAGCAATTATAAAATTAAATTTTCATTAACTTCTAATTAACAAATAAGCGTTCTTGCAATCACCGTGTTTCTGTGGTAGCATTTTTAACAAAATAATGTCTTCTCCACACTTTTATTTCACATCTGAACAAGTTTCTCCTAAGGTCTAATGATCTTTTGGCTAGTAAAGATTTACATTGTACCTAGTATGGTTTCATCAAAAACAGTCTTCACACTAAAAAGTAATATAGAGAGGCAGATAAAGATGATGGCTGAGTAAAATCCTCCAGCAATACACACCAGTGTCCACCCTCACAAGAGATAAGAAAGCCAGGTGAGAGAACATAATGCCTGGTTTTAGTATAATAAATAGAAAAAACATATTGTAGAAAGCAAGAAGGAAGGAGTTGCCTGTGTCACCCCTCCCCATCTCTAACGACTGTAGAAAGAGATGTCTCCTACTTGGGGAAGGGAAAGGAAATTAACCCAAGCCTTAAACTTTAAGCCCAGTACCAGACCACAGTAAAACTCAGTGCCAGGCAGGCACCCTTCTCCTATCCTTATTGTAGACTGGTGCCCATGGACTAGCCACTGGTACTGTGTTAGGACAGGTGGTCTTGTATCACCTCTTGCATGGCCATAGTCAGAAGAGTGGGAATAAAATTGTAAACAATGGGGATCAGAGCATGAAAGCTAGCACAGATTTTTTTTTCTTAGAGCTCAATGATGTGTCCAACTCACTGAGACCCAAGACTAGGCAGAGGACAAAGACCCCCAAACTGAAGCCAAAGCTTGCGAAGAGCTTGTAGACCTGCCCCAACACCAGGAGGAATTTACATGCCAATAGAATGGACTTGATTTGGGCTTGCATCAATGCCAGCCTAGGAGTGAGCCTAGGGCAACGACCCCACTTCAGATCGCACAGGTCACTGAAGCTTTAAGACTTAGGTGCATCCTGACTTAGTATGAACCCCAGGCTGGAGGTCAAGGAACTATCTCTACTTCCTTGCCCTAACCTTGGGAGCTCAGCTATCCTAGAACCAGAGTATCTATACCTGCCCAGCACCTGGCACGGGGCAAAGCCCTAGTTGGATAGACTTGTGTTTTACTCTGCATCACTACCCGTTATAATGTGGGCCTTGGTGCACTCCTGAAACTGTACAGATTCTTGTGGTTGTGAGAATCAGGTGTGAACCAGCTTAATGTCAGTTTTAGTAGCCAAAGTACTGTTTTCAATGATACTATTCCAATCTCAGGCAGCATAACATGGAGTGATAATAAGATAATTAGCAAATGACTTTGCTTTGGAACTCAGGGCCAGGCTGGTGAAACCTTACAAAAGGCAGATTCTAGCAGACCTGATCTCACAGTTGGTACACACAGATAGAGCCCCTGAAATGTCTCTGATGCCAGGAAAGAAATGGAGACCTACGGGGTTCTCTTCTGACCATCATCACCTATAATTATTTGCAGAGGTCTTGTGTTCATCAAGTCCACCTCAGAAGTAGAGAGTTCATAGAAGTGTGGGCCTTTGGTCCTACCCTAGTGTTGGGTTGATTTCGTGGGCTGTGTGCTCAGGGTGTAGCAGAGCCCTATGGCATTGTTGGTTATGTGCATGGCATAGAAATCTGAGGCTCTTAAGGCCATAGTAATTTTCTCCAGAGAATTCCACAGTCTCCAGCCATAAGCAGGAGACTGTGGAACAGGCACCTAGGCCTACCATAGACCCAGAGAGAGACTGGGGGGAATGGACTACCATTTGAAGGTACTTCCTTGTTCCTGCTCATCAATGCATCAAGTGCAGATTTGAGACAATCCTGGGCCTGGATCACCTTCTAGTGCTGAAGTAGTGATAACACACTATTGGTTGACTTGCAGCAAACATGGGCTTAGACACCACCTAGTGGTAAAAATCACAGAAGTAGCTAAATCTTGTGAAAAATTAACAGCCTGCTTAGAATTTCTAGATAGACAAACACAAAGTCAGATTATGAAGATTGGAATAAATACCCAGTCTTTCAGTGGTCAGAGGATGGCACACACTAACCATCAAGGGCTTTCTAGAAACCATACCCCCAAATAATAGGCATAATAAGATACCAGAAACCAACACAATAGTAACCAGTATGAGTGAACTCCCAAGTAGGGAAGCTACAAAATGGCTATAGTAAGATCTTAGCTAATGACAATTACTTTAAATGTAAATGGATTAAATTGTTCAATTAAAAGCTATAAAGTGATTGAATGGGTTAAATGATACAAGACTGAACTATATTTTATTTACAAGACACTCAGTTTATCTCTAAGCACACAAATAATCAAACTGGCATATCTTATTGCATGAAAATCAAATACAAAAGAAAGCAGGAATAGCCACACTTATATCAGATAAGACAGACATTACACAAAAAGCAATAAACAAGACAATAAAGTTCACTATATAATGGTAAAGAGTTCAACTCAGCAAGTAGAAATAATAATTTTAAGTATATGTATGTCTAATATCAGGGCACCCAAATATGTAAAGCAAACATTAATAGACATAAGGGGAGAGCTAGGCTCCATTACAATGGTAATAGGGAACTTTAACACCCCATTTCATCAGGAAACAGATCACTCATATAAAATCAATGAAGAAACAATAGAATTGAGTTAAACCCTTCACCTAATACCTAGTAGTCAACCACAAAACATTCCATCTAACAGCTATGGAACATAAATTTTTCTCAGCCACCATGTAGAACTTTCTCCAGAATAAGTCATGTCGTAGACTGCAAAAAGTCTTGACAAATTTTAAAAGATGGAAATCTTATCAAGTATTTCTTCTTACCACAAAAAAAAAGCTGTAGGCATCATACTACCTGACTTCAATATGTACCACCAAGCTAGAATTATCAAAACAGCACTGCACTGAATAAAAACAAATACAGACTAGTAGAACAGATCAGAGCCTAGAAGTATAACCGTAAAACTACACAAAATTGATTTTGAACAAAAGTTTTAAGAAACTTCATTGAAAAAAATAGTCTTTTCAATAAATAGTTCTGTAAAAATTTGGTATCTACATGGAAGAATGGAACTAGAACTCTCTTCCACCAGTTGTAAAAATCAACTCAGAATGAATTATAGACTTAAATGTGAGAGTTGAAACAATAAAAACTAGAAAGAAGCAGGGGAAATGCTTCAGGACCTTGAAACAGGCAAATATTTTCTGGACAACACCCCAAAAGCACAGGAAATAACTGCAAATATAGATAAATAGAAATATATCAAACTAAAAAGTTTCTGCATAGCAAAGGAAACAGTTACCAAAGTGAAGAAGCAACTTACCAAATGGGACAAAAGATTTGCAAATTACACATCTAATAATGGGTTAATACATGTCCAGAATATTTAAGTAATTCAAGAATCTCATTAGAAAATAAAGTAAAATAAATAACCTAAAATTAACAAAGAGCTGGAGGTACAGCTTGGTGATAAACTGTTTGCTTAGCATTCAGTACCATAAAAATCCTTGGTATCATAAACAAAAGAAAAAGAAAAAATTTGAAAGGGGGAGGAAGCAGACAAAAATAGATATTTCTCAAAAGAAAACAGATAAGGGGCCAACAGATATGAAAAGATGCTCAATATCACTAATCACCAGGAAAATGCAAATCAAAAGTATAATAAGATATTTCCTCACTCTAGTAAGGAAGATTATTATCAAATAACAAATATGAAATAAGCAGTATGTGATGAGGGGAAACTTTGTACACTGTTGGTGACAATATAAATTAGTATACTCATTGTAGAAAATAGTATGGATTTTCCTCAAATATTAAAAATAGAGTGAGAATATGATCCAGCTTTCTCAAAACTGGGTATATATCCAAAACAAGTGAAATCATATGACAAAGAGACATCTGCACTCTCAAGTTTATTACAGCACTATTCACATCCGCCAACAAGTAGAAATAACCTAAATGTCCATCTACTGATGAGTGGATAAAGAAAATGCTTTTTTAGCCATAAAAAGAATGATATTCTGCTGGCCACTGGTGGTTCATGACTATAATCCCAACTACTTGGGAGGCTAGATCTGGAGAATCATGTTTCAAGGCCAGTCCTGGGCCTAAAAGTTTATGAGACTGCATCTCAACAGATAAAAGATGGTATGGTGATACACTTCTGTCATCCCAGCAATGGCAGGAAGCTTAAAATAGAAGGATTGTGATCCAGGCTGGCCTAGACAAAAAGCAAGACCCTACCTCCAAAATAGCCAGAGCAAAATGGGCTATCAGGGTACTCAAGTGGTAGAGTACCGGCTTAACAATGTGAAGCCCAGTGTTCAAATCCCAATGCCATTAAAAAAGAGAGAAAGAAAGGGAGAGAGAGAGAGAGAGAATGAAATTCTGTCATTTCAACCACATAGATGGACCTAGGTATCTCTAAATTAAGTGAAAAAAGCTAGGTAAAGACAAATGCTGCATGATCTCACTCACTCAAATGTGGAATCCAGGAAAGTTGATCCCATAGAAGTTAACAGTAAAATGCTGGTTACCAGAAGGTGGGCAGTGTAAGAAGGGAAAAGCTGATTAATGGGTACTAAATTACAGTTAGGTAAGAGTGCAATAGGGTGACTACAGATGACAATTACAATTCATATCTCAAAAAGCTAGAAAAAAGGATTTTGAATGCTTTCA